GAGGGGTGGAGGAGATGGGGGAACCGGCGGGATAGGGGGGGAACTTACCTCCTCCTGCTGCTTCCTCCTCTTCCTCATAGTTGTGCAGCTCCCCCTCTCCCGCGAGTATCGCGGGTCCCCCCCTTGTAATATATATAGTTGTGTGAACACATCACGACTCTGTGTTGGCACTGAAGTTTAAGAAAACAATTTTCCTTCCTAGTTCACAGTACTTTGAATCCATTCCCTGCCATGAGGAAATGGTTACAAGCTTTTTCAGTGTTCTGCAGATTATGAGAAACAAAGCCATTTATTGCCCAGCCCTAAAGAATTTACTGGGGGGCAAGTCCCAGAGGCATCAGTAGAACTTATTCCCTATTAACATGCTTGGCATGGTTGGCAAAAATGATAATACAAATACAGATGTGCATGCTGCTGCTTCTGAATAGTTTAATTTTGTAGGATTTGAAAAAAACCCATAATTTTTAGTAGCCGGGGCAGCAAGTTCCAAGTCTGACTGCGACAAGACAACAAACACAGCATGGAACTGTTTAAGACCGCAATGAAATACCATCTTGTTAAAAAAATTCCAGCAAACATTAAGGAAGGGATTGGGAAAAATTAATGTGAATATCAAAAAAGTTTGTTTGTTTGTTTTATATACCACCCTCCCCGCAGGTGGGCTCAGGGTGGTTTACAACAATCTTAATGTAATACCATAAAACAACCATTAAAATAACAATTTAAAACAATTTAAAATATATCAATACCACCCTCCCCCAGTGATTGAGGCAGTTTCCAAAAACATAAATTCAGTAAAATATTTGCAGAATTGCAGCCTTCAAAATAGTGTATGTTCTAACAGCATGAATATTTCAGACTCTAGATGTATCGTTATTGTTATTCAGTGTCACTGGGCATGATCTGGCCACAGTTAAGTACTTTATCAGATTCAGAGAGATTTAAGCATATGCCTAATCTCTCTTTGAAATATACATGACTTAAACCTTGGCCAAATTGCACCCATCACTTTTTTTGTGGCATAGATTGAGACCAGGTTGGAATAGCTACCATCAAGCAAATAATCTGATGGACAGATTTATCTCTTTGTATCCCATTCTTCTTCAAGGTGATGTGTATTATGTCCTCCTTCCTCTTTAACCTCACAATAACTCTGTGAGGTACGTTAGGCTGAGGAACCATGAGTGGCCAAGATTACCCAATGAATACCACAACTGAGTGATGAACTGAACCCAGTCCCAAATACCCCATTGCCTCTTCATAGCAACACTCTGTCCCAATTGAAGTCCCCAGAAGCACAGTATCTATAGACCATCTCCAGTGGGCAGTTCTAGGCTTGGATCCACTAGAGGATTTCCAGTATGGGAAAGGAGGGTGATTTTCCACTGGTTCTACTGCAGACCTCAGGCTCCACCATCTTGCAGTTCCTGGGGAGGCCTCCTGTCACCTCAGATGCAGAATTTCAGAATCATTTTGGGCTGCAGCAGGAAGGAGAGGGAAGGAAGTTACCCTCCATTGTCAGAAATCCCTTCTGTTGGCAGAAGTTACTTGTGGAACAAGCCTTGCCCTATCTCCTAAGAACCGCACTTAATATTGCATTGCACTGTTTCCAATGTAGCATGATTTGACTAAGTGGATGTCAGAATGTGGGTCATTTCAATAGTGCAGATGTTTAAAAATCCCTACAAAATGTAATATTTGCCTCAAAGTCGCATCTTGGAATCTATGGCTATAGCCAATTCTGTAACAACACCCCACCCCCTCAAATCAAACCACATATGGGCAACTGTAACAACACTTTTGTGCTTGGTATAAAAGAAAGACCTCACACAAATGGCTGCATTATGTGGATTGTTGTAGGGGACTCAACAAGTCATGAACTGGTTGGACCCTAAGGCAAAATAGTGATTACCATATAGTGCAGAGGTATGTGTTTAAAAACCACTGTTGCTTACCTGTGGTGTTACATAATCACTTGCGTTCATCCTGGTGTGCAGAGCAGCACTGCTGTCTCCTGCTGTATTCTAAAGGCAGCTGTACACGTGTGTATTCCACTAGTTCATATCTGCCTTCTGTATTGATGCTTTTGTCTTTATTTACTAATTTACCGGTACTATTTACTTATTTACTAAGATTTATAGACTGCTATAAAGCAGTGCTTTCATAATAGTTTAAAGCAATTAAAACCATAAGAAAACATAATCAAATCATTTACCCCCCCCCCCATATTTGTAACAAAGGGTTCAAACTTACCTAGCCTCAAGCTGTAAAAGACAAAAGCTCTGTTTTGACCTGCTGCCAAAAGCAAGAGAGTGAAGGGGCATTTTGAACCCTGCAATGGGGCAAGTTCTTTAGCATTTGGGGGGGGGGGGAGGCTGCCATAAATGCTTTTTTCCTCCTAATAGAGGCTAATCCAAGACAAAACCTTATCAGCAGATCTTATTGAGGTGGGAGTTTGTAATGGGAACAGATGTTCCTTTGGGCACTTTGGAATTCAACCATTTCTGGTATCAAAGATCAGAACAAGCACCCTGAATTGTGCCAGGAAAGAAACAAATAATCAGTGGAGTTATACACAGTATAGAGGAATAATGTGCTCCCTCCTGCTTGCAACTTACAAAATGCTAGCAACTGCATTTTAAACCTAATAATATTAAAATAGTTATGATTTCAGGACGATTTAGTGAAGGCATAAAGCAGGCTGAAAGTATGAGTAGTATTCAACTGTTCGATAGAAAGGCGTAAACCCCCCCCAAACTTGTGCAAATCTGTACCTCAGTGAGGACCTATGGACCTTCTAGGCCTTTAGGTCCTAACAGCGTTGAGTTCTAACTATTAATAAACTAACAGCGTCAAGTCTGTATTAGTAGTCTATGGCATATCATTGATAATGTGATAATGTATTGCTGCATTTGAATCGCAGTGTTATCTGAATATTGGCATACTTGCTAATCTTTAGCTGTGTTAAAAATTATTTCAAGAAGGTTAAAGATGAATGCCCCCTTTTTAACATCCCGTGCTGCAAAGCATATTGAGGGAAAACCTGTGGACTGCACATTGGGACTGCCTCTTGTGGATAAAGTATATGGTAGCCCGTTATTCACTGATTTAAACCATGTACATTTCTCCCAGGAAACAACAACCAACACATCAAATTAGTAATAACAAGTTTTTAAAAGCCAGAGTGTTAAAACCCACTCATCCTATAAGCCAAAAACCGTTCTATAAAGTTCAGTCTTGCATGCTATCTGAAATGGTACATCTTCTAATGTCCTCTGGAAGACTGTTCCACAACATCGCAGTGCTACCCAAAAAGCCTGTGAAGGGCAATCACACCATGGTGAACATGGATTCAAAGGAGAGTGTGGAAAGGGCCATTGTTCATACCCTCAAGGGTTGGAGCCAGTAGCTGGCACTGCTGTGCTGTGTGTGCAGCTGCTGCCTGGGCTTCTACTGGGACAGGTGGTCCTTGAGGTGTGTGGGATGCAGGT